AAAAAAATACGAGAGTGTATTTTTAAAAAAATATATATATATATATATATATATATATATATATATATATATATATGTTGAAAATTGGCTTATAACCAAAGGGCTAAAAATGAAATCCAGAGAAAGTTGACAAGAAATGTGGAAACACGTGCGAAAAGCACAAACTTGTTGAAGTCCAACAACGAACAGCTGTTTGCTTCGGTTGGTTTCACTTCACTTTTAATCTAATTGTTAGATTCCTTCCCGTGCGTGCATGTATATGTTTATATGTATGTATGTACATTATACTATAATAATAGATCGATAATATGAGCAAATTAATTCCAAATTTCGATAATTAATAATTATTTACCATGGAAATAAACAGTTTTTTGTTTGGTTTAAGAATTAACAATTATTATCTACCATAGTTAATAATTATTTCTTATTTCTGGTGTATAATATAATTGTTTATTAATTTTGTTAGGGCACTGGATGAGATTATTTTCCTAATTACGAGTTGACAGAATTTGTCGGATTTTCAGGTGGAATTGAAGAATTCCAGACAACATCTAGAGGATTCCGATTATATTTATTTTCTTGCCCCTAATAAGATAATTTGTGTCCATATTTTGTATGAAAATTAAACAGAGGAACAAAAAATCCAAAGCAAACAAAATAAAGAGGATTAAAAAAATGATAAAAATGAATTAAATCACATTAAATAATTTACAATTGTATTTACGTTGAATCTAATTGAAAAATAAATTATATATATATATATTTGAAAATTAAATTAATCGAAATATAAAAATAATAAATATTTTTGTAGAAAGATGATAAGAATTGAATTCAAAATTATATATTTGGTAATAAAACTGAAAAATAATGAGGGAGATATGTAGCTGGAAAGGCTCAACAGAATTTTGGCAGATATGCCCACACAACCACTTTCTTTTATTAAAATATTAATTATGATAATAACAATACAACTACTACAACAATAACAATAATAATAATAATAATAACCACATAATACATGCAACATCCTCACAAAAAAAAAACACATGTAACAAATACAATTTATGTCAATATTAGTGTTTGTAGAAAACTTTGTATTTGGGGAAACTAATTTTATTCTCCTCATATATATGAAGTTATATATATATATATATATACAACTGTAATATGCTCGGTTTTTTTGAGTATTTAATTTATAAAAATAAAAACTAATAAAAGGTGGTATGCCAATGATATGCATTGCCTCATGCGTTAACACAGAACGGTCAGTGGTCCACTTGAGAGGCCATGGATGATCATCTTGGCCGTCCATTTCATTTATATTCATATAAGGCATCTTAGACACACACACACACACACATATATATATAATATTTGATATCCCACCCGATAATACTATGATATTATAGACATTGAAAATACAAAATAAGATTTATGATTAATATCTCTATTTTTTATTCGGTGTATATATGAATGAATTTTCATAAAATAAAATACGTTTCTTAAATAACTCATTGTTTACGAAATTAAATTAAGAAAATATTGAAATGAAAACCAATTAATCTTAAACAAGAAGAAACTTAATCCTTGAAAATGGTATATGAACAAAATTAAGAAGGGGATCAAATTTATGTATATATATATATATATATATATATATATATTATGGTTTTGTATCAATTTTTTTGGCGATCTATCTTCTAAGTTCAGATTTTTTTTTAATAAACATAAGAAAATTTATATAAAAAAAATCCATTATGTTTAGTTTTTATTTTCTAGTAATATATATATGACTAATTATTCAATGATTCACATTGTCACTCGAAAACTAGTTCATTTTTTTTTATACTAAAACAAATAAGCTGAAATTTCCTTTCAAAAGTTATATATAATTTAATGATAAAACAGACATACACACACACATATATATATATTGAATTATTAAAATATGAAAACAACCTATTTTTTTATAATCATTAAAATATAGTAACTAGAATTGTATATAGCTAAGTGAAGGCAACATTAGAACCCACCAGCAGAAATAGTGAGACTAATACATAACGAAAGAGAAGAGAATCAAGAGATAACGGAATATATTAAAAAAAAAAAGGAAAATAAAGTGAAATCAATTAAAGGAAAAAGAGAAAAAAATAAATAAAGGAAGGATTCCATTATTGCTTCAAGAGGCCGTAGTCGAAATTTGGAGGTATGCCCTCGCTGCTTCTCCCTTCATATTTAAGTTTCTTAGTCTTTTCTTATATATATATATATATATTAAGATTGGCAGTCCATATATCTATTCTTTATATATATATATATTTATAAAGAAATCTAAACTCGAAATAAATTAAGATTGGCAGTCCATGCCATTAGTTAAACTAGTTTTCAAAAGGGGTAGAAATTCCATACTCTAAAATTATAGAATATTAAAGTACTTATTTACATGTACTTGCCTAATTTCCAAAGGACAAGTTCATATATCTACGGAACCTACATTTGTAGTAGTTGAATGTGTGTAACTGTGTATATATGGATCCGGTCCGGTTCGGACCGGTTTGGTTCGGTTCGGTTCGGCTTAACAGCAATTATGAAGTGACGAGGTTTCTCCCGGGTCCACCACGGTTTCCTTGTCGGTATAGGCATCCAACGGTCGTGATTTAGCATCGCCAGATTAACGGCTATATTTCTGATTCTATTTAAATAAAATCGTGTTTGTCTCTTTACCATGGTTGGTGGGCAGTTAGGTCATTTCACCTACTGCTTTTGTTTTTTGATTTAATTTTAGAAAAAGTTTTTTCTCCCGAATAATAAAAGACTAATTTGTACATATTTTTATAGATTCTCTAATTATCTTCATTTCGTTTCGTATCATTGCACTGTTTCTGGGTTGAGAGAGAGGGATTTTGCTTTTGTGGAGCGAAGAGGGAAGAAGATGCAGACGATAGAGGCGTCGCAGCCGGCGGCGGCAGCTCCGCCGCATAGCCGACAGTTGGGAGCGCAGTTGTCGGGAAGTATGAGCTTCAGCAGCCAAATGTCGAAGGAGGACGAGGAGATGTCGAGGTCTGCGTTGTCGGCTTTCAGAGCAAAGGAGGAAGAGATCGAGAAGAAGAAGATGGAGATTAGGGAAAGGGTTCAGGCTCAGCTCGGCCGCGTCGAGGAAGAAACCAAGCGTCTGGCTATGATCCGCGAGGTATGTTTGATTTCACAATTCCTCATAAAACTTTTCAATTTTGAATTTGATTTTGGGACC